TACGCAGCGGATGCCCTTCCAGCCGCAACCCATCTCTGGGAAACATCCACACACACATTCATACACTATGGACAATTTAGCCTTTCTTAATTTTATTATATTCTTAATAAAGATCTAAAAATAAAGACAATAAATGAAAAACAGAAACATAAAAGTTAAATATAAAAATAAAATAGAACAACAAATATAAAGAAAGGAAATACAATACAATGATAAAGATAAAATACATAATAAATAAGCCACTAAACAAATAAAATACAATAAAATATATATACACTGATAATAAGGCACTAATTCTAAAGTATTTTTAAAGTTCTAATAATAAAGAAAATAAATAAAAATAGAAAAATAAAAGTCAAACATAAAAATAAAAAAACACACCAAAAATTAAATAACAAAGATAAAACACAAAACAAACAAGCCGCTAAAATAAAAACAAATAAAATCTGTAAAAGGTTTATTCACGGTCACTTTACAATGTTTTGTATAATACTTAGCTCATTTTCTATGCAATATTTATATATGCTAGGGTGCAGTTTAAAAAATATCAGCCAAAATATTGACAATAGAACCAATGAGTTTCGATCGTCCTTTAATGTGCTTTTTTTTGTGCTTTGATATTTTTGTAAATAAAGCACAATATATAATATGTACTTTAGGTAAACCTATTGCCTATTAGCATAAGTGTATATGTGTATAGTGTATAGTGTATAGTAAAAAATAATAATATGAATAGCATTTTTAAACGAATAAAATATAAACAAAAAGATAAATATATTTAAAACTCTAAACCAGTGGTCGCCAAACTTGTTCCTGGAGGGCTGGTGTCCTGCAGATATTAGCTCCAACCCTAATCAAACACACCTAAACAAGCTAATTAGGGTCTTACTATGTATGCTTTAAAACATGCAGGCAGCCGTGTTGAGGCAAGTTTGAGCTAAACCCTGCAGGGACACTGGCCCTCCAGGATCGAGATTGATGACCCCTGCTCTAAACATTTTAGAGACATTCATTCATTTATTTTCTTTTTGGCTTAGTCCCTCTATTGATTCGGGGTCGCCACAGTGGAATGAACTGCCCGTTTTAGAGACAATATTACACATTTTTTGTTTCGCCATCAGAAATAGCTCCAGAAAAGCCGGAGTAAAACTTTAATATCTAAGTGTTTTAGAGCAGAAATGAGTTTTGCTCCTTAATGAATCTGCTTTTGAACAAATCTACTGAATCCATGATTTAATGATGCATTCATACTTTTGTTGATATTGCACAATATGCAAAGTATACTTTCTTAAAAACAAACCTGTCTTCATTTTGTGCAATCAATTGGTACTTTATCACAAATTGTTTATATGTCTATAACTGCAAATGAAACAAATTTCTAAAAAATAAATAAATCACTAAATATCCCGTTTAGCTCATAAGGTCAGAATGCAAAAATTCCAAAATTGCATGCAAATATTTTTCCACATGAGAACTGCTTTATTTAATATCTGTTCTTCAACAGAATGGTGAGCAAGCAAACTATTTAAATGTCATTTCACTGACAGTTCCTCCTTGAGCCATCATTGCTCAGGTTTCCACACAGGAGTGCAGTATTACCGTCCAGCTCAGACTGAATGGACTCAACTACACATCACTGACCTCCGGACTGATGATCCGCCAAGGGTTCGAAGAGGTCAAAAGTTGCAGTGGCTCCGTCCTGCATGGGCAGATATTTGCGCAGGCCGAACGGGTGCGGTGAACTGACCCGACCCAACTTTCCGTAGAGGGCTGTTTGCAGATGACCACTTTTACCCCATAGCAGAGGAGGAATGTACCTAGAATACAAAAAACAGACTTTATTTTACATAGTGATACATGAGGATTTGATTTTTAACCAAATTTTAAATTCAAATCCGTCTTCAACATTCAGAATTCAACATTTCATGTTCACATTCTGCAATTCCAGACTGAAAAAAAGGCCGACTCTAGAATTGGTCGCTAAAGGCCGACTCTAGAACTGGTCGCTAAAGGCCGACTCTAGAACTGGTCGCTAAAGGCCGACTCTAGAACTGGTCGCTAAAGGCCGACTCTAGAACTGGTCGCTAAAGGCCGACTCTAGAACTGGTCGCTAAAGGCCGACTCTAGAACTGGTCGCTAAAGGCCCGACTCTAGAACTGGTCGCTAAAGGCCGACTCTAGAACTGGTCGCTAAAGGCCGACTCTAGAACTGGTCGCTAAAGGCCGATTCTAGAACTGGTCGCTAAAGGCCGACTCTAGAACTGGTCGCTAAAGGCCGACTCTAGAACTGGTCGCTAAAGGCCGACTCTAGAACTGGTCGCTAAAGGCCGACTCTAGAACTGGTCGCTAAAGGCCGACTCTAGAACTGGTCGCTAAAGGCCGACTCTAGAACTGGTCGCTAAAGGCCGACTCTAGAACTGGTCGCAAAAGGCCGACTCTAGAACTGGTCGCTAAAGGCCGACTCTAGAATTGGTCGCAAAAGGCCGACTCTAGAATTGGTCGCTAAAGGCCGACTCTAGAATTGGTCGCTAAAGGCCGACTCTAGAATTGGTCGCAAAAGGCCGACTCTAGAATTGGTCGCAAAAGGCAGACTCTAGAATTGGTCGCAAAAGGCCGACTCTAGAATTGGTCGCAAAAGGCCGACTCTAGAATTGGTCGCAAAAGGCCGACTCTAGAATTGGTCGCAAAAGGCCGACTCTAGAATTGGTTGCAAAGGTCGACCTTTAATTTGAAATTTAATTTGCAAGATTTTAGCAATAGAATCTGGCTGCAGATTTGCACCTTCAGGCTTGCACTCTCGGACTTGCACGCTTAGGCAACCGCGCTTCCTCTGCAAGTGACGTCATTAACAATCGCCACCTGTGGCCGCTTGCATGAAAGTCCTTAAGTAACTTAAGGGTGTCCCTGAGACTGGAAAATCTTAGGTAACAGATTTCATTAAGATTGTTGCAACAAACTTCTTATGTCACCCTTACGAAAGTGCCTTTTTTTGAAGCCTTTCACTGTAGTTTCTGGCAACATACACGACGGGCGCCACAGTTACTATAGTTACGTAGACAGATCGTAACAAACCACAAATGCTTTCCTTACAGCTTTGCAGTATTGTTACACATTATCTGTGCCTTTATCTTTCCATTTTAGCAAGTCGAGACGTTGCCTTATCGAGTCGGTCTCGACATTATGTGTGGAGGACCTATAAAACATTGCTGGGATCATGTAGAGACTTTTGAAGCTGCACTGAAACTGTGATTTCATATGGATGCACTTCTGCACAGACGTGCTAACTTAACACGTATATATTAGTTGACTTATTAAATTATAAGATATTTTGGTCAAGGGCTTTATGCAATTGAGCCCTGCACTCTCCGGCGACGTCACTTGCATTAACATCTACATTCTTGTTTGCAATCGTCCTGGGACGTGCTGAATACAGAATAGTTTCCCAAGTCTTTCTAGAATCATTGCTGTAAGTACATAATGTGTATCCGTTAGTTGTAATACTAAAACTCCTTCAAATGTTCAAAATAAAAACTAAAATTCAAATTTGCCTGGTGTTTTTTATTCATAACTGTGGAAGAATACTTTGTGTATCTATTTAGACCTGATAGTTCATATAAATAAATAATAAGCTTTGCTGGTATAAATGTTAATAGTAGCCTGCTTTGGTAAATTTACATTAAAGCATTATAATCATATGATGAATATTCAAACTGCTTTTCGGGGGGTGGGGGTTCTGTCATGATGTACAACTTGAGTACTTAGAATTATTTGACAACGTCCTCACTGTCAAAGCAAACAAACTGGAAACTTACTTTTGGTTAATGTTGATTTCAAGTGACGTGACAGGTGCAGGTGACGATTGTAAATGACGTCACTTGCATAGGAGGCCTGAGCATGCAAGCCTAAACGTGCAAGTGCAACTCTGCAGCCAGACACTTCTCGATTTTAGAGTCCGCCTTTGCAAGATTTAAAGTCTTACAAAGGACGACTTTAAATAGTCGCAAAGGCAGACTTTAAATGGCCGCAAAATCCGACTTTAAAAAGGTAGCAAATTCCAACATTAAATGTTGCAAATTCAGAGTTTAAATGTTGTAAAATCAAACTTTAAATGGTTGCAAAGACCAACTTCAAACCTTGTAGGTCTGACCTCATTTTGCACAATTCTGAGCTTATACAGAGGGACATTTCTCTCAGTCTGTCATTTACTTATCAAATATTAAACCATGTATTGTAATAATTCAGTCTTTCATCAAAATAAAGCTTTTATCAAAAGCAAAAAAACAAACAAACAAAAATCTAACCAGATTTTGTGACAAAGAAAGAAAACGTCCTTTAATGCAATTGTCAAGTTTCTAGGTTTAAGTTTCATCAAAATAAACATTACAGTTAGCCCATATTTTTCTGCTGATGATTGTAGAAATATGGGCTGATGCACTCATTTTTCATAGAGTTTCTGTTTGTTTCTGGGTCTGTATACTAACAGCGGGCAGTGGAATAGGTCACATTACCGCTGATATCGTGCCACATCACACAGGTGTGCCAACCCATGTTATGTAACAGTCCCGCCGGCTAATTAGCCTTTAAACAATCGCCCACTGATCCTTCACTGAAGTTATTCAGTCTGACAGTCTCACAGAAATAAACCATATAAAGCATGTATAAAGCAAAAATTTTTTAGGTGAAATGAGCTCATTAAGTGGATTTAAATCTTGCAAGTGGTACTCGCAAATAATGACATTTAATCTAGGAAAGTCTGAATTTAAGTCTAGCAAAGTTTGGATTTAAATGTGGCACATTCCGACTTTAAATCTAGCAAAGTCTGACTGTAAACATTACAATTGTGATTTTAAATCTCATAGTCTAACTTTAAGTCTCACAAAGACTTTATCCCCCGGTTTCACAAACAAGGTTTAAGGCTAGTCAAGATTAAATTGCATGTTTGAGCTGTATGAACTCAAAATAACTTGCGGTGAGAGGTCTTAAAATATGTCAGTGTCATATTTTATCACCAGGTGCACACCAGTAGTATATTTTTTTGAGGCCATTTTTATAAATGTGGCTTAAATAGCCTAATTTAACTAAGGCCTAGTCCTGGCTTAATCTAAGCCCTGTTTGTGAAACTGGGCCTATATCTAGCAAAGACCAACTTTAAATCTTGCAGGTCTGACTTCATTTTGCACAATTCTGAGCTTATACAGAGGGACATTTCCCTTAGTCTGTCATTTATTGAACAAATATTAAGTCATGGATTGTAATAATTCAATCAAAATAACGTTTTTATCAAAAGCAAAAACAAAAATCAAACCAGATTTTGAAAAAGAAAGAAAACGTCTTTTAATCCAATGGTTAAGATCATTGAATAACAAAAACATTATTTTTTGAAATGTTATATCATAACAAATATAGTTATCTCAATATTCAACAACAATCCCGTCACTTTTTTTTCCAGTTTTGTCCAGCACTAATATTTGATTCGTTACATTTCATTGTTTTGTTAACTTGGAACTTAGTTGCTTCGAGAGCTTAGAACGGGGTATCCCAACGTTCAGCTCGTTCAGAGCTCAGCTCAGACCCTAATCAAACACAATGCGGTCACACTAGAGTTTGAGCATGCGTTATTCTGTCGTGCGGCGCTGCGAAAAGGGGCGGGATTAGACAAGTTTATTAGACATTAAAAAAGGCGAGCGATTGCGCCATGTTTTAAATTTCTGTCCAGAGAGGTCATGTTTTGATCCTCGATTGGTCTCACAGAGTCTAGTGATGCAATTTCGCAGGTCAGAGTTCACCAAGCTTGAACTTTGCACCGCAGCAACCTGCGAAACTTGATGCATGACCCTACGTTTCCAGTCTGACGCATTCGCATACATATGAATAGAAGTCTTTGCTTGAACACCCCTAGCTTAAACATCAAAGACGTTCCATAGCATTTTATAATGCTAATACATCACTTCATCCCGTTTTTGCTTTGATGTTTGGCATCAAACCAATCAGCTATCATTCATTTCCACAAAACGAGCCTAAAAACACCAGTAAGCAAAGTCCACTATACACCTTCCACATCTCCCTTCACGCTGTCACTGCAATCTATCCACACCTCCTGAAGTATTACATAACACTCTCTCACCATATACAGCCCTCAACCAGACTCCGTTCTATCTGATCCTGCTTTAAATATCAGTTATGAGATGTAAGGAGTGTCTAATCTGTTCATGACACGGTCATATAAGTCTACAAGAGGATCAGCAGCAAACAAAGCTACAGCTAAACCATAAATAACATGCCATTTGAGGATAGTCGTTAGATAAATTAAGCAACACAAATGCTTTAAAAAATCTTGGGTTCATCTCAGGAATGTTGACAAGCAAGACTTTAGCGCTACTATTAACAACCGAACAGACTGGAAGGCTTGTTTTGTTCCCTGTATGTCTTTATTCTTGTCTCTCTATGTTGACTGAGCCGCAGTCATCCGCAAGCATAAAAGATTAAAAATAAATCCGCAAGAAAAGCATGCGGCGGCAGGACACGCCTAATAATGTCCCACAATGCACCAGTGCTTGACAAAATAAACTCTCAGATCCACTAACTGCGTATGCTCTACGGTGGTTGTTTTCTTAAAAGGCGTTTCGCTCCACAATCTTCTATGCAAACAAACATGGGGGGAAAATAGTGAATTGTACCACAGTGGAGAGATGGGGATAGGGGCGGACAATAGGGCTGTGTTTTTATCGATCGATCTCTCGGCCCTTAGTTTAGTAGCTGTACTGGAAAATAATGATTACATAACCAGCCTGGAGTCACTTTGGATTACAAAAGAAACACCCACCCGCACGGCCAAACAGTTATATGCGATGCACATCACAACTCCTGAGGTCAAAGTGTGGGAAAAGACATCCAGAAAACATAATTCGCATTTTAATTCTGCGCTTACAACAACAAAGTGAAGGATCACCATTAGGGCTGAGCAATGTATAGATCTGCAATAGTCACATCATAGCATCTGCAATGGGATTATAATTAGTTCAGAACACATGATCTGTGGAGTCACTGCAAAGTTGAACTGTAGTTTAATAGTGTTTTTAAGCGATTTTAAATCATTTGGGCACAAAAGAAATGCTTAAGTCTGCCTCTTCAACATAGATTACTTGAGTACTACTATTTAAACAATGAAAACTAGTATATGGTGTCATTTTACATGTGATTTTTGAATTTCTGTACTCCTCCAAAAAAACAAAAAACAAACCTTTTATTTTTAGGTGAAATGAGCTTTTTTCTTCTGTTTTCTTTTTGTTTTCATCTGTGCTTTAATTGCTTTGTTTTATTTTGTATAATTGGGAATCATTTTTGTATGTTTTATTTAGATGCACTTCCCTGCAAAAACATCCCAAATCAGTGTAAAATTATGTATTCTTTCCAAATAGAATGATCTTGCGAATTTATATTCATATTGCAATTTACACTCACCGGCCACTTTATTAGGTACACCTTACAAGCACCGAGGTGAACCCCTTTTGCCTTTAAAACTTTGCCTTAATCCTTCATGGCATAGATTCAACAAAGTACTGGAAATATTCCTCAGATTTTGGTCCATATTAACATGATAGCATCACACAGGTGCTGCAGATTTGTCGGCTGCACATCCATGATGCAAATCTCCCTTTCCACCACATTCCAAAGGTGCTCAATTGGATTAAGTTCTGGTGACTGTGGAGGCCATTTGAGTACAGTGAACTCACTGTGGTTATAAGGGGATGGACAAGGACAGCAGCAATACTTAGGTAGGCTGTGGCATTAACACGATGCTCAACTGGTACTAATGGGTCCAAAGTGTGCCAAGAAAATATCCCCCACACCATTACACCACCACCACCAGCTTGAACCGTTGATACAAGGACAGGATGGATTTATGCTTTCATGTTGTTGATGCCAAATTCTGACCTTACCACTGGTTATTTGAGTTACTGTTGCTTTTATATCGGCTCAAACCAGTCTGGCCATTCTTGTCTGGTATCAACAAGGCATTTGTGTCCATAGAACTGCTGCTTACTGAAAATGTTATGGTTTTCAGAGCATTCTCTGTAAACCCTAGAGATGGTTGTGCGTGAAATCACAGTCAGATCAGCAGTTTCTGAAATACTCAGACCAGCTTGTCTGGCACCAACAACCATGCCTTGTTCAAAATCACTTAAATCCTTTTTCTTCTCCATTCTGATGCTCGGTTTCAACTGCAGCAGATCATCTTGACCATGTCGACATGCATGGAGTTGCTGCCATGTGATAGGCTGATTAGAAATTTGCGTTAACAAGCAGTTGGACAAATGTACCTAATAAAGTGGTCAGTAAATGTATATCACAGAAAAACTAAATTTGCAAAATAATTTTTTTCCAATATCATGCAGTCATGATAACCATCATGAGAAACACCAATAAAGCATTGACAATAGCTTGATAAACCACCCAGTGTAGCGTGTTACAGACTAAACAGTAACACAAATATTTCGGCTGATGTCAATGGAAAGGCATGCTTTGTTTTGGCCTCAAAAGTAAACAGTGCAATAACCATATGCTGTCAGAGCTTTCAATAGATTTCTGAAGCAACACCTCACTGTTTGCACAATTATTTGTGAAGCAATTTAAACATGAAAAAACACAAGATTTTGCAAGTTTGTAAACTCTAAACAATTTCAGATGTGACTGAATAAAACATGCCGTTTATAGCACATTGTGCACATATTGTAAAGTTATATTAACAAATAAATCAATCTTAATGAGAGATCCTATTTACAGTCTTAAACTTTGTGTCTGAAAGCAGTTGTGTACGTTTGTGTTGTGGTAATGACACTTCCGGAAAGTGTGATTTCTGACAGCCTCAAACTTCATTTAAAAGTGTCTAAATTGCATATAAAGGTGATTCTAAATCTGTGTGTACATTAACATCTCCAAGATAAACCTTGTAATGTTTTTCAAACTTTAATAAAAAAGAAACTTGTTAAAAATTTTAATAAATTGGAGAAAAATAACAAAAATGTTATCATGTTATCCTTAAAATAACCATGGCTTTGACTTAAAATTGTGTCCACCTCCTGAAAAATCTCCATGAATCATTTTCAGTAAAAGAACAGTAAAAGAAAATGAAGCCCTCTATTAAAGGGCACCTACCCCGTTTTCAAGATTTAAGATGAGTCTTTTGAGTGTCCAAAATGTGTGTCTGTAAAGTTTCAGCTCAAAACACCCATTAGATTATTTATTATACCTTTTAGAACATTAGGGTTTTCTGCTCTGAACACTGTAGCTGTTTTTGTGGCCTGTGCCTTTAATGTAAATAAGTTAGTTCTCCCCATCCACGTCAGAGTGTGTCTTTTGTTGCATCAGATAAGCAACACAGTGACAGACATGAAGGAAACAGATCTAAAGTTTGTGAGAAATACTACAATAAGAACTCTCCCAATGATTATTTGATGTATTTGTTGTGGAGTTAATTCAAGCATGATGATGCAATGAAGAGTCACACAATGTCGTTCCCACGTTCACACACACACACACATATACACACACACCCACTGCGTGCATTTAAATGTGCACTGTTTTTGCATGCAAATGTGGCATGATACAGGTTAATATCCACTGCTGTAAAGATATCTGTTATGTTAATGTTCAAAATAAACCTGATTTAACGTCCACAAACAGGGATTGAAGTGTCTTCTTTTATAATTGTACTGACATGCGGCTGTGGTGATAAAGTAAAGACAGTAATCACTGTAATTCATTATGGACATGCACTGTTTTAAAAAGGTTTTAAACTTGTGAAGTTTATTCTTGATCACATTTGATGATGATTGATGATCACAGAGTGCTAAACTGATCTTTTAAACCTGTTTTTACACATCCTGTCTAGTTGATATGATTATACGCGTTACTATGGAGATAAATACACGGTACATTAAATAGAGTTAATACACGGCTGTTAATCAATTTTGTGGGCGGGGAAATAAAAAAAGAGAGACTTTTTGTCTTTACATTACTTCTATATGACTGTGGACCCACTATACCTACACACAGTCCTGTCCAAACAGTTTACAAAAATTATTTTCATCATATGTGCCCTTTAAAATGATCTTTTGTAATCTTATATACGCCAGAACTGTCAATATCAATTTCATGAATCCTAACTGGAAAAGGCATCAATTTCATTGAAGGGCAAAAAAAAAAAAAAAAAAAAATATATATATATATATACACACATATACATATACATACATATATATATATATATATATATACATACATATACACACACACCTTCCTGACCATACAGTTTTAGACGGTGGTGTACAGTTAAAGTCAAAATTATTAGCCCTCCTTTGAATTTTTTACCTTTTGCAAATATTTCCCAAAGGATTTTTACAGAGCAAGCAATTTTTCACAGTTTTGAATGGTCTACAAAACAAACCATCATTATACAACGACTTGCCTAATTACCCTAACCTGACCTAATTAACCTAGTTAAGCCTTTAAATGTCACTATAAGCTTAAGACTAGCATCTTGAAAGACATCTAGTAGAATATTATGTACTGTCATCATGGCAAAAAAAAAGAAATCCGTTATTAAAACTATTGTGTTTAGAAATGTGTTGAAAAAATCATTTCGTTAAACAGAAAATAGGGTAAGAAACATAAAAGGGGGCTAATAACTTAGGAGGGCTAATAATTCTGACTTCAACTCTGTTTATGCATGTGATTGAAGGCGCTCTGCATTAGTCTTTTGCAACCCTGTGCTAAAAGCAGCTTGAGTAGCGGCCTGTAATCTATTCTGAGTTGTGGTTTACTCAGTAGACAGCGTAACAGCAGTGAAATGATAATCTGAAGTGTCATACTCACTCTTTGGTCAGGATAGGACACGACTTTAGCAGGAAGTGGTTGAGTGTTGTATCCTGGAAAGTGAGGTCCGGTGGAGCTGTAGGACTTTTCAAGTTTAGACAGCGGACGATGACGTAGAGAACTGTGGCCACCGCTGCCAACTTCATGCCATCAAACATCGCCGGCATCTCCGGTGCCACCGTGTAAACCTCAGATTCGTGAGTGTTCATATTTGTGCTAAAAATAAATAACAAATAAATGACTGATGCAAATGTGTGAGAAAACTGCAATACAATTAAGCCTACAGAAGATTTAAACGCTGCACAAAAAAAAAAATATATATAAAAAAGATTTAAAAGTCATGACTACATACGTGTCTGTTATTTTAACGTATTTAATTACTATTAACTTATAATAATTAGTTAACCTGGGGTTCGTTCCTCGTACGTGGATTACTCAGTTAGCTGGATTTGGATTTTGACGATTTGACACGATCCAGGATCATTTAGTTCTTCAAAACTCATCCGAGACTTGTTGTCATAGCAACAGTTCTGGTAGCTCAAACCTACTTGGGAGCAGGTTCATTTCATATAAACCGGATTAGATGAGGTCATTTCAAGCAAAGATAATACTGAAAGTTTGTACCAAATGCTAATATTTTCTTACAGTAGTTATATACACTTGGGAAAATAGTAAATATATATATATATATATATTTTTTTTAAATAAAACTTATGCAATCTGCACTCCGAAATAACGTGTACATGCACAATATTCAAGTTAAGAAAAAAGGATAATAATTTATGCAGTCATGCACGTGTTTTGACCCCTATGCCGGTGATTTGTTGCTTGCAAAAGTTGCAGACACCTTTACCGATATCAAAATGCTTTTTTAATGCAGAATTAATTTATGCAGTTATTCCTTACCCCGATGAAAAAAACTTAAGTAGGCCTATAGGCTAATATAACGAAGAAAATCTTCTCTAAATGTAGAACTAAATACGCTGATATGCATTGAAAAACATGATGAAAACTCTTGACCAATGAAAGTGTAAAGCCTGCAGCTTACAACAAAAGTGGAAAGTTATTGCATGTCAAATTCAACAAACCGTTTACTGCTAATTTTATGTATTTTGCTCACATGGATAATTGAATATTAATCAGATGATGTCATTACGATGCTGTTCCGTCAGCCAATCGTTGCAATGCTGATCGTGATTTTGAGTATCGATCGATCTGTCCTTCACAACACATGCAGCGATCTCAGATCAGTTCATCCAGGTTTAAAGGGTCACGAAACACTAAAACACATTTTTTGAGCTGTTGACAGTCGTATATGTGTCCCACACTGCTAAAAACACTATTAGGACACCTATATTTCACTAAAAAGTGTAAATTGGTTGTTTTTGCGTTATTTCAATCAAATTCGTACTTCCTGTTTGAAACAAATTTTTGAAGCTGCGTCACGGTCATGAGATAATAGCGTGTATTCCAGCGTGCAGACTGGACGTCTGTGCCAGAGTGAGTCTTATTACGTCTTACAGTGTGATGCATTAATACATGAGTAAGGCTTGGTTCAAACCAATCAGCGCGCTCTATTGTGCAACTTCATTAATATTCATTACTTTCACAGTGTTTAGACGTCAGAGACACCACATTGTGTTGGCAAAACAAGCGTGAAGTGTTGCTTTTATAGTTTGCTGCAGTTAAGTTTTGTTTTCATTTTCTCTCTGTGAGAGCTCAGCTGGAGTCACGTGTGGATTAACAGTGTATGCGACGCTCGACAACAATAACTTACGTGTCTAAGGAGGATCACTGTTTACCTGAGAGCTGTACTCATCTGCAAACGATGAGATCCAGATTCACTTTAGTCTCCTCTTAATAAAGACGCGGCTCTAGTTGCTGGTGATTGTCCTGTCTCTACAGATTTGGTGCGACCAGTGCTCTTTGTTTATTCAGTTTGTTCGTATCGAACTAAGTTAACTATTGCACCGAGTGTAAACATGTTAGCACTACAACAAAACTTTAACCTCGTGTAGGATTTTCACCGCATTTAGTGACCGGAATAACACACGCGGCTTTCTGACGCTACCTGCCGAGTGCATCTAAGTTTCCGGGAAATGCTGAGTTTTTTTTTCTTTCATTCGCAGTGTGGTATCAAACATTGCATGAAAAATACACGCTTAGAGCAGTTCCTCGAATTAAATATTTCGTTTGTCGCGAGGGCCATGAATGAATTCCATGAATGAAAGACAGTTAAAGTCCACCATTTAATAATTTGGCAAATAATTCGACTACAGATGTCCATGTAAACACAGTCACTTTGTCCCCTCTCTCTCTCTGTGTGTGTGTGTGTGTGTGTGTGTGTGTGTGTGTGTGTGTGTGTGTGTGTGTGTGTGTGTTTTGACTCTGAAAGTCAGCGCGCCCAAATAGACACTCCCACACCATCCCACTTTTCTTCCTCCGACACTACCCCCTAAACAAAGCTTGACACGCCCACTTTTCTGACTTTTTCCAAAGTAGAGGTTTGAAAACACCCTGCTGAAACGAGGGGGTTTCATGGCCCTTTAAGGTCAGCCGCTTGGTTATGTTGTGTTAATAAATAATTTAGTTGGAGCACTTTGGCCATTGTTTATGTTATGCTGTCTTTGGATCACAATAAGTATTTAAATTAGGGAGCGTGACAATGCAATCAAATTTACTTTGTTTTGTGTCATATCATTTGATTTGAAATGACCTAATGCTGCACAATGGCGCAGTGGGTAGCACAATCGCCTCACAGCAAGAAGGTCGCTGGTTCAAGCCTTGGCTGGGTCAGTTGGCATTTCTGTGTGGGGTTTGCCCGTGTCTCGCATGGGTTTCTTCCGGGTGCACCGGTTTCACTCACAGTCCAAAGACGTGGTATAGATGAATTGGTTAAGCTAAATTGTCCGTAGTGCATGTGTGTGAATGAGTGTGTATGGATGGTTCCCAGTGATGGGTTGCAGCTGGAAGGGCATCCGCTAAGTAAAACAAATCCTGGAATGGCGGTTCATTACACTGTGGCGACCCCAAATTAACAAAGAGACTAAGCCGAAAAAAATTTATGAATGAAATTACTTAAGTTCACTCAACTTAAATTCAGCCTCAAGTAATTTTTTTTTTCTTTCTCACTGCATTTGATTAGTCATTCATAGTCAGCTAGTGTGCAATTTACTAAGCAAAACTAATATTAAATTGTTTTAAATTTGGTTTTGTAGTTTGGGCGTAAATAAATATTCATTGCTGTTTTTAATCGTTAAAGTTCATTTGAATGAATATGTAAAAATCAGTGGATTTTATCGATGCATTTATTGGGTTAAATGACTCATTTTTACTGTCATTCAATGTGTTTTTGGTCCTTGCCAATGCTTGTCACTTTAATTGAGCATGAGCTTCTGCATGCGGTATGAAAGCTCAAATCTGTTAACATGGAAGCCTAAGAAAACACGCGCTGCTCACACTTGCGGTGTGAAACTGGCTTTATCCTTTAGACTATCATTATTTTTTTGACGTTGTGCAGTTTAATTCACTGAATTTCTACAAAGTATGTTGTACGCCATAAACTCACAGACTTGTTGGTCAAATCCATAACGCATGTTTATTTTCCTCATCTAAAATACAAAACATGTTTACAGATTGATATTTTTCTGATCCCATAACTGTGTTTAGTAGTTTTGTAAAATATAAACAGGCGTTTTAATATAATGTTAACATATACGTTCTCAGTGAGTTTATGTTTTAAGATTTTACTGCAAATGTCACATCAATAAAGCAAGAATTGCTCATATGTTGCCTAGGAAGAATAGTTTGGAAAACCAGTCCCGTTTGAATAGGGCTAAACTGTGTAGGCACAATAAACAAACACAAACAGCGGCTAAAAAAAAAAAAACCTGACGGAGTCACTTACATTGTAGGTTAGATGAGTTTCTTGAATGTGATCCTGTATTTCCTGATGAAGACGGAGGATTTTATGGCTCACAGTGATCTGGTCAGTTCTCTAAGCAAGGAAATGAAAGAAGAGTGACGTGCATTAGAAACGATAAGAGCGGATAAGATTGATTACATGGACTCTCAGTGTCAAGTACCAAGCCCAGTGTTATTACTTAACAGCCAGGTGCCTGCATAATAAAGAGATAATTCACAGACAAGTGACAGTCTTATGTCATTATGTGTTAAGTAAAAATATTTGTAAATTGAAGGTAGTTTATTATATCAATTTGTAAAAAAATTCTAAAAAAGTATAAAAATAAATATTTAAAAAAAATTTATATATATACACATATATATATATACATATATATACACATATATATATATATATATATATATATATATATATATATATATATATATATATATATAAACACGCACACATTTTTTTTGACAAAAATATATATATACACTAGTAATAAAAAACAAATTCATTCATTCATTCATTTTCTTGTCGGCTTAATCCCTTTATTAATCCGAGGTCACTACAGCGGAATGAACCGCTAACTTATCCAGCACGTTTTTACGCAGCGGATGCCCTTCCAGCCGCAACCCATCTCTGGGAAACATCCACACACACATTCATACA